GCATTAAGCTTTAGGAATGTGATGGGAATGAATATTTCATAGACTTTATTTTTGCACTGCTGATACATAAGCTACAATATAGCATAGTAGTTCACTGTGTTTGTTCTGGAGTCTGCTAGCTTGGGTTTGAATACCAGATCCATCACATACTATCTCTACTGCCAGTCAGTAGACTTTCCTAGGGCTCAGTGTCCTTATCTTTAAGATCTGGATATAGGGATGCCTGGGTGGCTCAGTAGTTGAGCATCTGCCTTTGGCTCAGGGCATGATCCTGGAGTCATGGGATCGAGTCCCATGTCAGGCTCCCTGCATGGAGCCTGCTTCTCCCTTTGCCTATGTCTCTGCCTCTCTCTCTCTTTGTGTGTGTCTCATGAATAATAATTTAAAAAAAAACTTAAAAAAATAAAATCTGGATATAGGGGCACCTGGGTGGCTCAATCAGTTAAGTGTCTGACTCTTGATTTCAGTTCAGGTCATGACCTCAAGGTTATGAGATGAGCCATGCATTGGGCTCGATGCTGGGCATGGAACCTGCTTGAGATTCTCTCTCTCCCCCTCTTTCCCCTGCCCCCCTCCTAATTTTTCCCATTCTAAAAAATAAGTAAATAAAATTTGAATGATAAAATCCAGCTCATTTGGGCTAAACAGGATTGAATAAGATAATGTCTATAAATTGATTGTAGATACTAACCACATCTACAGAATCCTTCACAGTAACACTTAATGTCTAATGGAATAACTGAATACTATAGCCAAGTTGACACAAAACTAATCATCACAATGCCCTACCTTTACTAATCAAGGGAATGCAAATTAAGATCACAGTAAAGTACAATTTTATATCAACTAAATTGACAAAAGTCAAGTATCTGGTAACACCATGCATTGTATGTAATGGTAATGTAATCAGTGGGACTCTAATGTATTCCTATGGGAATGTAAACTGCTACAATCATTCCCGCAAACAATTGGCACTTTCTTACATACATTTGTATGTGTGTAGCCTAGAAATTTCATTCCTTCAAAAACTTGTACATGAACACCAGGAAATGCGTAAAATATATAAGAATGTGGTAGTAGTTAAAAATATGTAAGTAGCAAAACAACAACCTAGAAACAAACCAAATATCCGCTGGTAGAAAAATGGGTACATAAATCTTACTATAGGCATAGAATGGAATATCAAATGGTAGTGAATAAATGAATGACCAGTGGAATATGAGTGAATTTTTGGAACATTTTTATTGAGTTTATAAAGCAAGGTACCAAAAATAAATAAATAGATAAATAGGCAAGGCACAGGAGATTAAAAATAGCATAGTACCATTTCTCTAAAGCTCAGAAACAAGTAAAATAAGTCCCCATATCATTTGGGAATACATACCTACATTAGGAGCTCCAGCTATGGATGAAAGGGGCAGGATGGGCTAGCAAAGGATGTAGAAGTCAGTGGAACAGTGTTGCTAATGTTCTAGTCTTTAGGTTTGGTGGTGAGTTCCTGGGTGCTTCTTTCATTATTATAAGTCATAACTTAGTATGTTACAGGTAATTTTTCCATATTATCAAATCACTTAAAAATATAAAGGATAATTAGCAAAAACATTTGTTTCTTTTTCCCTCAAAAAAGCAGAATTTGAAACTTAGAGTGCTTTAATCTGTGAAAGTCTTTCTTAGGAAAAAGAAATTCATAAAAGCCAGAGAAGGGCTTAGAAGACTGCATGATTTAGGTTTAAAACTAAGGCTGGGTTTCATTGCGGCTGTTGATTCTCTCCTTAGGAAATATTTCATATGTGAAAACTTTTCATTTAATTCCAGGGAGTAATAATGAACATGGTCTGGAAATAGATTGCTAAAGCTGTCTGTTAGTTCTGATGAACTCATCTACTGTAAGAAATTTGTAACTGGTATTCATGGTCACAGGGTGCTACTTCATTCCTTAAAATTAACTTGTAAGTTAATAGAAATGTCATAAAGCTAGATCAGAATAGAAAGATGTAATTTTAGTTGTTTGGGTTCTGTGTGGCGGAGCATTGTAGAATTCTGGCAAATGATATAGGGCTCTCTTTCAGGTTTTAAGTTTTTAATTTGGCCAACTTACTGAGGCTCAAATTGAGGGGTGACCCACTTTTGCCTGGGTCAAAACAACCAGGGCATGGAGGAAAATAATTGTTTTTTTTTTTTCTTTGCAAGAAGCTTTGTAAGGTTTCCCAGCTGGCAAATTCGGTATCCCACATCTGATACATAGAAAAGCTACAATTTGAAATAGAGGTTTTTTAAAAACAATTTTTAAGGTGCCAAATGCATCTTTGAATACATAAGATCTCTCTCAGGTAATCCTCTCAGCTGAATGAGTAGCATAACATGTCATTTGTTTACAGATACTTGATAATGTGAAGAGCAGTGTCATGTTTTCTTTATCTGGCATTTGACAGCTGTTAACTAGTGAAATGAGAGATTAGAGTCTGTGCAACTAAAAGCATACACTGGATCCCTTCAAACAAAATGGTGCCACCTTCTATATTAAGGATTAAATTAGCTGATTGGTAAGATGTATATGCCATGTTATTGAGAGAGTTATATTTTCTTAATGAATACACTGTATGTTTTAAGTCCAAGGAAACATTGAAGCCTACAAGATAAAAAAAATTTCCATAGTAAGATGTAAACTAATCTGTATAGTGATGCTATTCCTATATAATTCATCAAACCATATCTTACAAAATTGGTAGTATATGTATATTGACTAATAATACTAAATTATCAACTTTACCTTTCTTTTATTACTTATCATAGGTGATTTTTTTTTCATCTAACATTATGTTTTTATACTTTGCCTATTATATCATTCTTTTCCCCCATGCATATTTTTCTTTTAGGGAAAATATGTCTCAACTTGTAACTGTCAGCTTATTTATTTCCCATTTCTATGTGATCACTTATTAGGGCACTAATGATATTGTTTTTGTGACTGTTAATGGTAGTGTAGTGTTAGTTGATTCTGGAAGGATTATGGTAGTATAGTATAGAGGTTAACGGTGTGGTCGCAGGATCCAGACTGATAGGTGAATCTCTACTCAGCAAGTCACTAAGTATATGACGTTGGCAAATTACTTGATTTTGTTTTGCTGTGGTTTCCTTTATTTATTTATTTTTCTATAAAGTTTTTAAAACATATTTTCAAGTAATCTCCATAACCAATATAAGGTTCTAACTTACACCCCAAGATCAAGAGTCACATGCTCTTGACTGAACCATCCAGGTGCTTCCACCTTTAAAAAACATTTTTTTTAAGTTTATTTATTTATTTATTTATTTAAGTAATCTCTAAACCCAACATGGGGCTTGAACTCACAACCCTGAGACCAAGAGTCAAGAGCATGCACTTTTCAGTGTCAGGCTGGTTTCTTGATTTTTAATAAAAGGAGTGAGTTCAGTGCTCTGGTACCTAGTAAAAGCTAAGTGAAAGCTAACTATAACAATGGCAATAATAAAAATTATTATTGAGTTGGTTTCTATTGTGAACTTAATATACTAGCACTTGTGTATGTTTAATTTATTCATATGCAAGTAGAGCAGGTTGGCTATAACTCTCCAATCTAGGATCAATATGCCCATGTACATGATAGTCCATTTCCTTTAGAAAATTCTGTCTGTTGTATATTATGAATAAATTTTCCAAGGCCAAATTCAATGGCAAAATAATTGTATTCACTTTGTATTTGAGTGCCTAGCATTTGCAAAATAACAGAGTAGTATACAGATATATGAAATATAGTTCCTGTACTCAAGTATTATCATTTTAACAGGAAAGATTAGGAATAGAAATCTGCTTTTTCAGGACCCTAGGTGGGTGAAAATTATACCAGAAGAAACCATGTCAGACCGGATTAATACTGGAAACAGAATGAACCGGAAAGTCAGTTTCACCATTTTGGGGAGCAAAGGGGAAATGAATTGAATTACATATATACCTTGGTGGTGGTTATTGTTTTCATACCCAGGAATCTCTGGATCTGCAGTCTACCTGTAGTCTATTTTTTTTTTTTTGAGAGGAGAGAGAGAAAGAGAATCTCAAGCAGGCTCCATGCTCAGCATGCAGAGCCCCACATGGGGCTCAGTCTCACAACTCTGAGATCATGACCCTAGTTGAAATTACAATTTGGACAGTTAATTGATGAGCCACCCAGGTGCCCCTGCAGTCTACCTGTATTTATTTTCTTTCCTGGTTCAGCATCTACAAGTGTATTACTTGTTAAAAGCTCTGTATGTGCAATATATAACAAAGAGAAATGTTTAATGCTATTGACATAAGACAGGTACAAACGAAGTATGACCATTATTAGCGTAGAAGTAGGTGATATCTCATCCTGCAGAAAAGAATTGGAAAAAACTTATGGTGTTTTGGTGGCTCATTTAGTTGGGTGACCAACCCCTTATTTCAGTTCAGGTTATGATATTAGGGTCATGAGATCAAACCTGATGTTGGGCTCCATGCTGAGTGTGGACCCTGCTTAGGATTCTTCCTCTCCCACCACCCCCTGTTCATGGTCGTGCTCTCTCAATCAAAATAAATAAATACGTAATAAAAGAAATTGGAAAAAAAGTTCTTGAAAGAATATTTGAGCTGGGATTTCAAAAGATGCATGTGATTTCAGATGAAGTTTAGGAGCTTTAGTGGTATCTTTGCTCCATGCATGGTCAAGGTATCAGCGTAAGTAGTGATTCAGAGTGAGGGCTGTGCATGGCATCCTGGTCAGATAGCGAATACCCATTGAGCAGAAACGTGATCTATGTTCAGGTTCTGTACTGGGAAATATACTTGGAGAGGTAAGTTGATGTCCTATTTAGTGGGCTTGGAATGCCTTCAACTTAAAGAATTGAGATCCATGAAAGGTATTTTACATGGCAGATGGTGGTGGCAGTGATGATTGGCTAGTACAGCTGGATTATCCACTAACTGCATTTTGTATTTATTTGAATTCATATTTTCTCTCTCTTAGGAAGTTCACGATTTATTACAAGACTATGAGTTAAAATATTGTTATGTGGACAGAAATAAGCGAACAGGTAAGCTTTTACTTTTAAGCAACTGGTTTCATTTTGTTTCTCAGTGTGGGCACTAATAGCGGCTTACTGTCTTTTCATTCTTAATCTCTGAAACTCTTAAGCATTAAATCATATAAATGCTACTCACACAATGTATTTTCTGAAGATAATATCTTAAATTATCACATAATTAATGTGTTACTGGAGACATTATTTTTATAAAGAGTTTTCTTTTTTTAAATTTTTTTTTTTAAATTTTTTAAATTTATTTATTTATGATAGTCACAGAGAGAGAGAGAGAGAGGCAGAGACATAGGCAGAGGGAGAAGCAGGCTCCATGCACCGGGAGCCCGATATGGGATTCGATCCCGGGTCTCCAGGATCGCGCCCTGGGCCAAAGGCAGGCGCCAAACCGCTGCGCCACCCAGGGATCCCTATAAAGAGTTTTCTAATATGTTGTGATGTTATAATAAATTTTTATAGGCTTGGTATCCTTCAATTTTTTATTGAAGTATAATTAGCATATAGTGTTATATTAGTTTCAGGTGTACAACACTTTTTGGGGGTATACAGCCTATTGATTCCACAATTTTTTGCATTACCCAGTGCATACCACAATAAGTGTACTCACCATCTGTCACCATACAACATTATTGTTATATTACGGACTGTATTCCCTATGCTATACTTTTCATCTCCATCACTTATTTCATAGTTGGAAATTTGTACCTCTTAATTCCTTTAATGTATTTTACCACCACCTCCATATCCCCTCAGGCAACTGCCAGTTTGTTCTATGTATTTGTTTTTGTTTTTATTTTTTTAAGTAAACTCTGTGTCCAATGTGGGGCTCAAACTCATGACCCTGAGATCAAGAATCATGCTCTACCAACAAAACCAGTCAGGCGCCCCTTGTTTGTTTTTGTTTATTCATTTGTTTTTTAGAATCCACATGTTAGTGGAATCATATGGTATTTGTCCTTCTCTGTCTGACTTATTTTACTTAGTATTATATCCTCTAGGTCTGTCCATGTGATTACAAATGGCAAGATCTCATTCTTTTTTATGGCTGAGTAATATTCTGTTGTGAATATATATACATCTTCATTGTTGTAAAGCTGCAATAAACAGAGGTGCATATATCTTTTCAAATTAATGTTTTCATTTTCTTTGGGTAAATACTCAATAGTGGAATTCCTTGATCATATGGTAATTCTACTTTTAATTTTATGAGGAACTTCCATATGAGTGGCTACATTAATTTACATTCCTGTCAATAGTGCACAAGGATTCCCTTTTCTCCTCATAACACTTATTATTTCTTGTCTTCTTGATACTAGCAATTCCACTGGTATGAGGTGATATTGTGATTTTGTTGTGGATTTCCTTTTTGATGAGTGATGAGCATCTTTTCATGTATTTGTTGGTCATCTATGTCTTCTCCGGAAAAATATCTATTCATATTCTTTGCTTATTTTTTAATCAGAGTGGTTTTTTTGGTGTTGAATTGTATGAGTTTATATGTTTTGGATATCAAACCTTTACCAGATATATCATTTGCAAATCTCTTCTCCCATTCATTAGGTTGTCTTTCATTTTATTGATGATTTACTTTGCTGTGCAAATTATTTTTGTGTAGTCTCAGTAGTTTATTTTTACTTTTGTTTCCCTTGCCTCAGGAGACATATCCATAAATATGTTGCTAAGGGTGATGTTCAAGAGATCACTGTCTTTTTTTCAACCATTTGGAATTTTATGGGTTCAGGGCTCACATTTAGGTCTTTAGTTCATTTTGAGCTTGTGTGTGGTATAAGAAAGTGGTCCAGTTTCATTCATTTGCATGTAGCTGTCTAGTTTTCCCAGTACCATTTATTGAAAAGACTGTATTTCCCATTATATATTCTTACCTCCTTTGCTATGGATTAATTGGCCACATAGATATGGGTTTATTTCAGGGCTCTCTGTTTCATTGATCTATGTGTCTATTTTTGTGCCAGTGCCAAACTGGTTGATTACTATAGCTTTGTAGTAGATCTTGAAATCTGGGATTATGATACCTCCAGGTTTGTTCTTCTTTCTCGAGATTGCTTTGGCTTTTTGAGGTCCTTTGTGGTTCCATACATTTTAGAATTAGTTCTAGTTCTGTGAAAAATGTTGTTGGTATTTTGTTAGAAATTGCATTAAATCTGTAGATTGCTTTGGGTAGTATGGACATTTTAACAGTATGGGGGTTCCAGTCCAGGACTGTGGGATATCTTTCCATTTGTTTGAGTCCTCTTCAATTTCTCTCATCATCATTATAGTTTCAGAATACGGGTCTTTTACCTCTTTGGTTTAATTTATTCCTAGACATTTTATTCTTTTTGGTGCAATTATTATTTTTTTATTTTAAATTTATTTTTTAAATGTCTCTTTTTTTAATTTTTATTTATTTATGATAGTCACACACACACACAGAGAGAGAGAGAGAGAGAGAGAGAGAGAGAGAGAGAGAGAGGCAGAGACACAGGCAGAGGGAGAAGCAGGCTCCATGCACCGGGAGCCCGATGTGGGATTCGATCCCGGGTCTCCAGGATCGCGCCCTGGGCCAAAGGCAGGTGCTAAACCGCTGCGCCACCCAGGGATCCCTTTGGTGCAATTATTAATGGGATTGTTTTCTTTCTCTTTTTGCTATTTCATTATTAGTGTACAGAAAGGCAACTATTTTCTGTGTATTAATTTTAAATCCTGCAGTTTTACTGAATTCATTTATTATAATAGCTTTTGTTGGGATCTTTAGGGTTTTCTTTTTCTTTCTTTCTTTCTTTCTTTTTTTTTTTTTTTTTTAAGATTTTACTTATTTACTCATGAGAGACACAGAGAGAGAGAGGCAGAGACACAGGCAGAGGGAGAAGCAGGCTCCATGCAGGGAGTCCCATGTGGGACCCAGTCCAGGGACTTCAGGACCATGCTCTGGGTGGAAGGCAGGTACCCAGCCACTGAGCCACCCAGGCATCCCTTTAGGGTTTTCTATGTATAGTATCATGCCATCTTTGAATAGTGACAGTTTAACTTGTTCCTTACCAATTTGGATGAATTTTATTTCTTTTTCTTGCCTAATTGCTGTGACTAGGACTTCAGTACTATGTTGAATAAAAAGAATGGACATTATTGTCTTGTTTCTGATGTTAGAGAAAAAACTTAGTTTTTTTTTTTGCCATTGAGTATGATGTATGATGTGGATTTTTCATGAATGACCTTTATTTAGCTTAAGGTATCCCCTAAACACACTCTGTTGAGAGTTTTTTTTATCAAGAAAAGATGTTGAATTTTGTCAAATGCTTTTTCTGCATGTATTGAGATGATTGTATGATTTTTATTCTTCATTTTTTTTAATGTGGTTTATCACATTGATTGATTTGTGAATATTGAACTTCCCTGCAGCCCTGGAATAAATTCCACTTAATCTAGGTGAATGATCCTTTCAATGTTGCTAAATACACTTGCTAATATTTTGTTGAAGATTTTGCATCTATGTTCATCAGGAATATTCTTCTATAATTTTCTTTCTTCATAGTGTCACATGTTTCAACATGAAAGAAAATTTTTAATACTTCACAAAATTTTGCATTACATGTAGTTGGGAAAAATAAAATCTGTAGTTTGAAAATATTGTAAAAATTAAAAACAGAACATTGTAGTATCTTATAGATCTTATAGTGGAACTCCTAATGTAATTCCAATACTTTTATTTGAGTCACTGGTCATGAAATTAGTTAAGTGGGTGGTGTCAGCATTAAAAAAAAAAAAAAACACCACGAAATAGAATAGAAATATCAGAGTGCATTGGATGTGGTAGGAGTATTAGTTCCTGATACTTTTGTTTCAGAACTGTGTATATGTATACCAAGTCACAGACCAAAAGTATATTCCTTACTGTAAGTCATAGTCAAAAAAGTTTGAAAACACTGGCTTAGAAAATTCTTTAATTTATTTTGTTATCTTCTAGCTTTCGTAACCTTACTGAATGGAGAGCAAGCCCAGAATGCAATTCAGATGTTTCATCAATATTCTTTTCGAGGAAAGGACTTAATTGTTCAGCTACAGCCAACAGATGCCTTGCTGTGTATTACCAACTTGCCCACTTCTTTCACACTAGAAGAGTTTGAAGAACTTGTTCGTGCTTATGGAAATATTGAAAGATGTTTTCTAGTCTACAGTGAAGTTACTGGCCATTCCAAAGGCTATGGATTTGTGGAATACATGAAAAAGGACTTTGCTGCAAAGGCTAGATTGGAGTTACTGGGTAAACAATTGGGAGCATCAGCTCTGTTTGCACAATGGATGGATGTTAATCTATTGGCCGCAGAGCTCATTCATTCTAAGTGCCTTTGTATAGATAAACTCCCTAGTGACTACAGGGATTCAGAGGAGCTGTTGCAATTTTTTTCCAGTATACATAAACCTGTGTTTTGCCAGGTATGTATTCTTAGGGTATCATTTGAAATCTTTGAAAGTCTCTGCCTGTTATTCTGCATGCACTCACAAATTTATTATACCTATGTGAAAATCACAATGGATAATCTAAGTCTTTTTTAATCTGTAATGAAGACTTTAAGGTCATGGTAAATTTTCAGTCAATTCCTTTTGCAGATGAGTTAACCTATATTATTATATAGTTAAGTATGTCTTAGCAAACCCATCACTTACTCATTCACTTCATTCCAACCATTTGTTGAGCCTTTCATCCATTGATCCATTCATCCATCCAGGTGTTGCTTATTATCTTCTCTGTGCCAGACATTATACTGCTAAGAGTTGGAAATATAGAGAATAGAAACGTACTCTCTCAATACCTTACAATTTTGTGGAAGGTACTGACAAGCAGATAATTATAAATCCTGTATAAAGAGTAATGTAATAGAAGATAGGGGAGTATTATGAGGCTTAAAAAAATGTATAATCCTATCTTAATGGGATCATGGTGAGACATTCAGAGAAGATCTTGAAAACTGACAGTACTGGTACAAATTTTCATGTACTTGATCAGTAAACTTAAATACATTCTACTAAATAGACAAAAGTATATATTGTATAAAGCTCCTTCCCTTGTAGGTATCCAGTAGCAACTGATGAACTCTTTTCTCCCTTGCTTTCCTTAATTTCTTCCTTCTCTCTCTTCTCTCCTCCCATTCTTCTTTTACTCTTACCCATATTCCCTGCCCCCACTACCCCACCATTTTTCTTTTATCATGCATTTGTTGAGTCTCTACTATTAAACTAGAAAGCTCAGAGTTGTTATAGTTTTTTACATATGTGGGTGTATATATATCCACATACACACATAACCATATATAACTATATATAATTATGTAATGTTTTATTATATATGTAAATATAGATTATATAGCTAACTATATAACTATATATAATACATATAATGATAATTATATAGATTAATGCTATCATCTTACTTTTTCTTGTATTTCTATCCCTTCAATCCCAATATAAGCATCAAAGCAACCATTTAAGAGTTTCATAAAACTAGAAAATTCTGTGACAAATTTTTTATCAAATCTTTGCCCAGTTATTGAAAGATGATAATCTAATCCATATCCTTTTTTGGATACTATTAAGTATACAGTGATATTCTGTGGTCAAACAAAACTCTTTGTAGCTGTAGTTGGTGCCTTTGAAGCAAATGTGAGGGAAGTAGCCATTTATCACAAGGTGTATTTGAATTGTGAATCACAGAGTTGGAAGGTACCTGAGAAGTTCTCTAATCTGGGTTGCCACTGGTAGAAAAATGTTTTGTTATATTATTTGTAAGTGACCATTTAGCTCTATTAAAATGTTTCAAAATAATGTAAAATTAACTAGATTAGAAGTCAGACCATTACATATTTGAATGGCTCTCCTACTGAACTTAAATATTCCTCTTGAAAACTGCTGATGCTGTGGACTTAGATGATTTTGTCTTTTGAAAGAATTAAAATAGTATTATAATTTATATAGCCATAAAAGTGATCATAATGAACTAGGAATAGTAATAAGTGTTTCAAAAGTTCTCAAAGGGTCAATAAAACAACTTTGCAACTTTGCCTTTATCAGTGGATCTGTGAGATTCAGGTTCTTTTGCTTGGTAGGTTGACATGGACTATATTGAAGGTAGTGTCTTGTGATCAAGGGACATTAAAGAGACTGAGGACTTTTACAAATCTGATTTTTTTTTGAAGATTTTATTTATTTATTCATGAGAGACAGAGGCAGAGGGAGAAGCGCAGGGACCCTGATGTGGGACTCAATCCCAGGGCTCTGGGGTCACAATCTGAGCCAAAGGCAGACATTCAACCACTGAGCCACCCAGCCACCCCTTACAAATCTGATTTTAATATCTGGTTTAGATTAGAAGAGAAATGGGGCTGTAGGAGAAGTGTTTGGAAGAGGCACATATTTTCCCTTCCTGTTAGGTGATTGGAAAAAGCTTTGTGGAAGAAAAAACATTTGAGGACAGTTTTCAAAGGAAGAATGTGAAGGAAAAATAGAAATTTGGTCAAACTATACAAAAAGGTAAATCTTCAAAAATAAGAGGAGAGAAACTAAAAAAGATTGAGAAATTATTTAATTGTAATATTAATTTATGAGATGCCAAATCCAAACGTGTTGTAGATGTGTCTTTTAAAAGACATACCATGCTGAATTTTACCACATTTACCACTTTATCGCGTGAATGTGTTTAAGATAATTCAGACATGTTCAAAACTTAGAAACTTTTTAGAGTCTTATTTTGTTCTTATTTTTGCTCTTTGTACCGGTCTTTACAGATCCAGGACTTTAGTATCTTCCTTTACACTCTTACAGGTGGGTGACTGGAAATATCAAGTTCTACATTGCAGGAGTTTATTTAGGGCACATTCAGAAATAAAGCTTGTGTGTTGTGTATGGCATTTTAACAAAGCTGGGGCACAGTTTTCCCAAATAAGATGTGCTTTGGAATACTTGACCAAATTTCTGGGATTCGCCTAAATTATTTAATTAAAATAATTCCTCCTCCTTTTCTTCTCTTAATAATACAAACTTTAATTGATGTAGATATGTGATCAATATTTGTTCAGTATCTTTCATTGCGCATGTATCTGGCAAATTTATTTTAAAGTTTTAGTTATTGTGTCTCCATATTTTTCTATACCTAAATTATTAGTTATACATCTTCATATAGATGGAATATTATCATTTGAGCTTTGACTTTTAAAATAACTTAGAAAATCAAAGAATTAAAAAGAAACTTGACAGAATCTTATTTATAATCCTATCTTCAGGGAAGACTGTACATAAGTATCTATCTATCTATCTATCTATCTATCTATCTATTTATTTATTAAAGGTAATCCCTATACCCAATGTGGGGCTCAGACTCATGACCCCAAGATCAAGAATTGCATGCTCTTCCAACTGAGCCAGGCAGGCATCCCACAACTAGGAAACTTGATTTTGGAGAGAAAGAATACATTATTTTTGCCAGTATCATGTTTTGATACATTTGTTTTAGATTTTGAAAATTATATACTGAAAATAAATATTTCTAACTGAATTTTAGAATTCTCCTTTTAACAAAATGTATTAAATCAGCTTGCACAGGATGAAGGCAGTTATGTTGGTGGCTTTGCAGTAGTTGAATATAACACTGCTGAGCATGCTGAAGAGGTTCATCAAGCAGCTGATGGAATGACCATCAAAGGAAGCAAAGTCCAAGTTTCCTTCTGTGCCCCAGGAGCACCAGGGCGAAGTACATTAGCAGCATTGATAGCATCTCAACGTGTGGTAAGTCTACTGTTCCTTATTAGGATATAGAAAAATTCTAATACTATTTTAATCTTTCCAAACCAGTTGACCATTCATTGGACCCTCATTATATTTCCATTATACAAAGACATTCTTCCTTTGAAAAATTGGCTAAATGGTGTCTCTGTCATATCAAGCCAGGAGTTATTACAAAAGAAATTGCATTTGGTAGATTATAGCCAAAGAAATTTTATGTAGGAATGTTCTGTTCTAAATTTTGAGTGTCATGTCTCTTTTTCCAAAGTGTTCATAAGTATCCACAGTGCATATATAGGAAGGTGTGTGCTTTGTTTTTGCGTACATGGCCCATTGTCACTACTTCTCTCTTGTTAACTCTCTTCTTATTCCTCTCTCTGCCTCTCTAGTGTGGAAGTTCCATGTATATAGGGACTATTCCTTGTTCAGTTTTTACTCAATGGTAAATACTCATTGACTGAACTAAGGAAGGAATACACATTTGAGGGATGAGGGGAAAAGACTTCATGATGGAGGGGATCTTTGAGTGTGACATTAAAGTATGATTTTGAAATACATTGTTGAGAATGGAGGCTAGGATTGCTAGATAAATACAGATTTTGCATGAGACATTATACTGAGAAAATTTTCCAGTGTTTATCTGAAACCCAAGTTTAACTGGGCATCCTGCATTTTTACTTGCTAAATCTGGCAACTATAAGGAAGTAGAGTGAGTTGAATAAAACCTTTCAAGCAATAGAATTGGGCAAATTTGCATGCTTCAAGGTGAAGGTGTGTAGAAAGGGATGTATGGTGAAATGATAGGTTGATGCCAAATCAGGGAGGACCATTGAACACTGAAAGAGTAGAGATTGAATTTGATAAGCAGGAGGGGGAGCTTTTGAAGTATATAAACAGGGTAATGATGGAATCAGAGTTAAGCCATCAAGAGATCAGTCTAAAAGTGGTTCGTAGATGAATTGAGGAAGGAGGAAAAGATAGATAGGAGGTTGTTGGCCTCATGTCTCTTGCCCTCCTCTTCCTGTTCTTTAATCTCACATCTGGTCCTGGATCCCTTCTCCTTTCTTTTGTAGTTTGTCCTTCTCCTCTTAAGTTCTTCTGTCATTCTCCTGTCCTTGCTTGTGGAAGTCATAACTTCACCTATTCTTTGACTGTCAATGTCATGCCTCTGGTTAAATTGACTCTGTTGGATCAGAGTCACACAGTTTACAATTCTGAATCCATCTAGTCAGCTACATCTGCAGCGAGGGCACTGTGTCCTCTTGAAGAGAAACACCTACATGACTTGATGCTACTACACATGGGTAATATATGTCAATTGGTTATCCCCTGCAAAACTTTAGCTCATCATCTCTCATCAGCTGCTCATTTCCATTTTCTACAGCAATTGTCTCAAACTTTCACCCTGTTTCTGCCTTTGTCCTATCAGCTGGTCATGGCTCCTACTTTTTAGAAAGTACAAAGGTCATGTGCTGGATCATTCGTTCAACTCTTCTCATACTGCACCAGCAAATGGGTCCCAATTTTTTAAAAAATATTTGTTTGTTTGTTTATTTACTTATTTATTTGAGAGGGCGGGCCAGAGGGGGGAAGGGGCACAGGGGGAGGGAGAGAGAATCTCAAACAGATTCTGAGCTGAGCACAGAGCCTCATATGGGGCTCTATCTCATGACCCTGAGATTATGACCTGAGCCAAAAACCGAGAATCAGACACTTAACTGACTGTGATACCCAGGCACACCTGTGTCTCTATTTTTCCTTTTCTCTTCAGTAGCATTCATTCCACAGGTACATTCTGGACACCCACTCCATGCTAGGCACTGTTAGAGATGTTTACAATTCTTCAGTGAACAAAATGGACAAAGACCCTGCTCTCTTGGAGGAAGAGCTGTGCTTCCTCCTGCCGGTGCTGGGGCTCATGACCATATTCCCCATCTTCAAGGATTTTGATCATTACCTTTCTACTTACTGTCATTTGTTGCTCCACTAGCTCCCATCCCATCTGCTTATAAACATGCTCAGATCCTTTCCTTTAAAAATGCTCTCTACATACTGCCCTTTATATTAGTCTTCCTTCACAACTGGAGCTTTTTGAACAATTAGGCCCCATTTGCTGTCATCATTTCTCCATTTGCCTCTCAGCCTGATACACTGTGGTTTCTGCCTCTGCTATTCAAGTGAACCTGTTCTCATGAAGATTAATAGAGATTTCTCAGTATTCAAGTTGAATAGGTGCTATTCAGTCTTATTCCTTGGTCTCTTTAAGGGACTCCACTCTCCTCAATTCCACCCCACCATTCTTTTTTTCTGCTTAACTGTTCCTTCCTCTTCTTCTTTTTCCCTAAAGGCTGTTATCAGTAGATGTGTGTGACTTGCAAGCACATATTTTTGAACCATTTGCCCTCAGCACTAAATCGGTATTTCCAAATGATTGTTAAATGTCCCACCTTCATGTTCTATAAGTAGTTCAGTTTCAGCATTTCTAAAAGAAAACTATCTTTTCTCTGGAACTTGTTTTTCTGTGTTCTGTGGTGTTGGATTGGATTTGCTGAGTTTATAATTCTGAATCCATCTCATCACCTGCTTCTGCATCAGGGCACTGTGTTCCCTTGGAGAAGAACACATAGGTGGCTAGATGTCACTACAAATGTGTGACATACATGTATAATTCTGTGTTCTGTATATGGCACCAGTTCCCTCTGTTACTAACTCTAATTGATTTTTTTCCAATGCATTGTTTGATTTGATTGGATAATTTATTTTGCATATATGCATGTATCTTTTTGAATTAGTGTGTTTGTATCCTTTGAATAAATACCCAGTAGAAGAATTACTTTGATAAGGTAATAGGTAATACTATTTTTAATTTCTTGAGGAACCTCCATACTGTTTTCCACAGTGTCTGTCCTTATCTTTATAATATCCTCGTTTTTTTCTTTTGGTTTACTCTTTCTCCTCTCTCTGTATTGATATTAATATTTAGTACTTTTGTTTTCAATCTATATTGTTTTCTGATTAACGTATTTAAAGAAGGTATCTATATTGTTTTCTGATTAACGTATTTAAAGAAGGTATCCTTTTAACTAATGCTATACATATGTATCATAAATTTTATTTTGCTTTTAAAGTTTAAATTCTACTTAACATACAGTGTTATATTAATTTCAGGTATACAATATAGTGATTCAACAACTCTATACAATGTGTCATAAATTTTACATTATGTTTCAAATTGTTTTATGATTTCCTTTTAAATTTAAAGCTTAATTACTTTTGTTTTCATCGTTCAGTTTTTATCCACTTAGGAATTTTAAACACCTATTCTTCTCACACAGATCTGTAATGTGTTGCCTTGTGATCAGAGAGTCTAGTCTCTAATGTTGATTTGGGGGAGGGGACCCTGGGGCTGCCTTTTGTTTTATTATGTGGTTACTTTCTGTGAATGTGCCATGTGTGCTCAAAAACAATCCAAACTCCATGTTTGTGGGTTATAAAGTTAATATATGAATCTATGTGTGTATAAATACTAGTTTGAGCTTATTAATTGTGACTCAAATCTTCTCTGTCTTCGCTTATTTTTTTTTTTTTTTGTCTGTTTGGTCTGTCGATGTGTGAGAGGAATGTATTAGAAGTTACGTGTAATGGTTGAGTTTTCTTTTTCTCCTTATTATGTTAGTTGTTTCTCCATAGATAAATAAGTATAGGTATTATTATTAGATGCATGTTTGTTTGTAGTCATATTGATTATTTTACCCCTATATGTGTTTTTCTGATGTTAGAGTTGCTACTTCAACTTTCTTTTAGTTTATATTTGCCATCTGTTTATTACCAGCCTTTCTGTACATTTGAAGTATGTGTCTTATAGGTAACATGTTGCTCTAAAAACATGTTTTAAGGGGCGCCTGGGTGGCTCATTGGCTAAGCGTCTGCCTTCAGCTCAAGTCATGATACCAAGGTCTTAAGATCGAGCCCCACATCAGGCTCCCTGCTCAGTGGGGAGCCTGCTTCTCCTCCCACTCCTTCTGCTTGTACTCTCTCTCTCTCTCTCTCTCTCAAAAATAAATAAATAAATAAATAAAATCTTTAAAAAATAAAAACAGGTTTTTAAAAATAAAATTTAAAAAAAATCTGTAATTGGTACATTTAGACTACTTAGATAATAATGTAGTGATGTTTATTCTCTCATAACATGTTTTCTTTTAACTGTCCCTTTTTTCTTTAATTTTTATTTCTTATCTACTGTTGGATAACTAAGACTTTTCTTCAAGTGTGGGTTGTCCTGGAGAGCAGGTGAAAGTAGGTAAGCATCTCTGGGACAGGAAAAAAGAAACCCCTCAGACAGCAAATCTGAATGTGCCTTCCTTAATGTCACCCCTTTAACAGGGAAAACTAAATGGAATTCTGCATTTTCCATCTGAGGATGGCAGTGTGAGAATTAAACTGGTGGAGTGCACACCATTGCAGCAGTGATGTACTTGATAACTAGGTTGTACCGACTGACCTTTGGAGTCTCAGCTGGTCCATTTCCTATGAATTCTTCTCTAGAGAGGTGGGGAGCCATGTCTTGTACCTCTTGGCATTCCTCCTCAGCATCAATTGTACTCTTAGACTAGATACCAAATGTTTGTTAAATGAGGTTTTTAAATTATCTGAGGCCCCTAAGATCAGGAAGCAATCAGAGGGCTGAGATTTTGTGGCTGAGAAAAAAAAAAAGCCATAGAAAGGTAACTACTTAAAGAAAAGAAAAAAAATTCTTCTTCCCATTTGAGAGTAATATGTTCTATCTTTAGCCTACTGGTAATTGCCGCTAACTTATTGGCACCCCTAGATTTCTCAGTATCCCTTTCTTCCCATTTAACTCATTCTTATCTCCATCCTACTTCCTCCTTCCTACTCCACCTACCACCATATTGGTGTTTACATTTTAATTTTAGGATTGCCTTAAGTATTTTTTTCCCATAGTACTGGATTTTGTATGCAAGACCGAAATTACCTATGACATAACATACCTTTATTTGCTCCTACATTGTAATATTGTCTTGCATTTACTGTATCTTATGTCTCATTTTCAGAGAAGGAATTAATGTGGTAAAAACTTGAGAATTTGTATATTTGGGAATATTTTTATTTCTTTCACATATTTAGATAATAGCTGAGTATAAAAATATTGTAGATACAAAGTTCTTCCTTTGACACTTTGAAAATACTAACTTGTTGCCTTTTTAAATCCAATGTTGATGCTTTGAGGGAGAAGGTGGTATTAATTCTATTCTTGTTCCTTTGGAAATATGTTCTTTCTCACTGGAAGCTTTTAGCATTTTTTTCTTTGGCTTTGAAGTTCTTAAGTTTCATACTAAAAAATGCGATTAGGTATGTTTTTTTCCTTATACATCATCTTCAGAACATCATAACCCCTTTCATTCCATGTTCTTAAATTTTTCTTTAATAATGAGAAATTCTCAGCCATTATTTCTTCAAAGATCCTCTTTTTTCTTCTTCAGGGACTCCTATTTTATACAGGTTGACACTTCTAACTTCTTTATCACCTTACTTTTTCTGTTTTGTGTTTCTTATTTCCATGTTTTGTTTTGTTTATTTGCATTTTCCACTTCTTTATCCTTTGCCAGTGTCTTCTGAGAGCTTTCTTTGAACTGATCTTTTAAGTCATTGTTTTGTTTTTCAGCCACACATGTTCTACTATTTATCTGTTCAAGCATGGGATGGAGGTTAAGAATAATGCTCTGTAACAGTTTCTTCAGTTTCTTTGTCTATAGAATGGTGATAATTATTGTACCAATTTTATAGAGTTGTTTTGGAGAACTACGTGATCTAACCCATGTGAAGTGCATAGAATGATGCCAAGTATGTGGAGAAGGCTGCTTTTTTTCTTTCTTTTTTTTAATGTTTTTGTTTTTCAGACCCAGTATTTCTAATTATTCTTTGTAACTGCTTGTCCTTGATTCACGTTACAAATAAACATTTTATAAGGGTATCTGTTATGTTACTATTACTATGTAGTGTTCTTATTATTTCCTATCCATTAATTCTGGTTCATCCCTTATAGGTGGTTCAGTTATTTACTTATGATTTTTAATGGCTACATTCTCCAGATGTCTAGCTGTGTTCTGTGAATAGGTTTTTCCCTGGGAGAGTTTCAGCTTCCTTATATATGAGTGTTTAGGGGTTGGGGAGTAAAGGATGGACAGGGGAGAGCGAAAGCCTGTCCATTTTAGCTGGGGTTTAGTGAACGCAGATGGGGAGCCAGGGCAGAGAATTCCTCCTTTACTATCTGTCCTAACCACAGCCCCTTTCCTGCCCCAACCAGGCAACCCTGCACCTGGGAGAAACTGGTAATTCAGTGGTCCTGTGGCTGTCACTATACTGGTGTCCCTTCTCGTGCTGGCCAGGAAGACCCTCATTACAGCTGCACGAGTAAAAAGCTCTTCCCCAAACTGGCTGTAGGTGCAGACTCTCTCCTGCTCCCAGTTCAGGCCTGCCTCCACACTGAGACCCGCTGCCACCTCTCTCTCTGGGGATTTCTCTCAGACTTTGTGTCTGATTCTCAGATTTGTCACCCTGTCCCTCTCATTTTCACAGTATCTGGGTTTAACAAGGGATTCCAATTGTATTGTCAGTTCTCCATTTTTTTCATGACTAAAAGTTCATATTCATAGTTTTTTTATAACTATATTAATATTCTCATCTATCAAGTCAGTTTTTGAAACTGAAAACAATTCCATGTTTTTAGGAGGTTACCTAGTCACATGTGTGTGAATTCACTTCAGCCTTGTCTCGAAGATTAAGTTAATGAAGACTTTTATTATAAGAAAGTTTTTGTTTGTAAGGCAACCCACATTATTATGCTCTAGATGAACATTCTATAGTAAGGCTCTTCTGTAGTATTGACAGTGTGTCAACAAGTTATCTCCCCATTAATAAATTCAGATTCCCTTGGCATCTTTCTGCTGGTATTGTGTGAAGAGATTTATCTTACTAAACTGTTAGTCCCGCAAAGCCAATATGTATTTCACTGAGACATTTTATGAGGATTTCAGTATATGCTGTATAGTAGAATATCTTAACATTTTAATTAGGAATTGTGGTAGGATAATATACAAAAATGTTTCATATAAAGCAATTTGCATTAATCATAAAAAAGATGAATGAGAACTTCTGGAAGAAAGCCTTTAAAATGTCCTCTTTTGTGCTTTTCCTTGTTGTAATATTTTCTATTTCTGTATTTATTGAAGATGCACAGTAATCAAAAAGGCTTACTTCCAGAGCCAAACCCTGTACAAATTATGAAAAGTTTAAACAATCCTGCCATGTTACAAGTTCTTCTGCAACCCCAGCTCTGCGGGCGAGCTGTTAAACCAGGTAAGCACCAAGAAAACAGATTAAATATAGAATGTTGGCAAGAAGCCAAATTGTGCTGTTTTACATGAAAAACACATTTAAATTATTCCAAAAATATTTTTCTAGGACTTGCCAATGACTTTTAATTGATGGTCTGAGATGATAATATGTTTTCACTATTTCTTAAACATTTTTACTTATTTTTATTTAAACTTAATTTGCCAACATAGAGTATAACGCCCAGGGCTCATCATATCGCGTGCCCTCCTTGATGTGTTTTCACTATTTTTGGTACAGTCTGCTTCTGTGTTTCCTAATTTCTTTTCAGTAAATGTTGAATATTCAAACCAGTTTAGCTCCTAGTTGACAGGAATTTAGAGACCAGATTAAAAAAACTAATAATAATAAAGACCGGATAATTAACACACTATGTTATTATGGACTGTACAAACAAAGGATGCGATACCTTCCCATGTAATATTTTTAGCAGAATTACTTTATTCAAAAGTGTTAAAGGTAAAAAAAAAAAGTGTTAAAGGTATGTCTCCTCTTTCCTTTTCTGTTGAAAAATTGTTTCACTTTGTAGAAAATGTCAAAAATAATATGGAAATCTTTATAAAATTGGTATATATTAAATATCTACCTATTTAGTATTCTTCCTCTGATAGGAGTCTATCTTTTGAGATGCACAACTATACATACATAAAATGTATATTTTAGCATTATGAAGAAGTGAATTTTTCAGTGCTAAGGTTTAGAGTAAAAATGTTTACATATACCTATTGTTTCAACCCCAAGTGGTCTAATACCAACTAGTGGACTGCAATTTACACCTAGCACTAACCACTGAGGGTTAGCACAGACCCTACAAGTTAAGGGCTTGGTCACCTGTTGGTCTGCTCCTACTTCACACACCAGCTACAAGTTCAGGGGATATCCAAACCACCTGTATTTCTGATCAACTGGCTATAAATTAGGGGGTTCCTACCACCTCAGATTTGATGATTTGCTAGAACAACTCATAGAACTTAGGAAAGCCCTGTACTAAATGATTACAGATTAATTATAAAGGCTACAAGTCAGAAATGACCAAGTGAAGGTATCCTTACAGCTAGGTCTAGGAGGGTCCTGAATGCAGAGCTCTTATGCTTTTGTTCCATGGAATCTGAGCACATTACCCTCCCAGCACATCTGTGTATTCACCAACCAGGGATCTCCATGGAATTAAATTTGGCATCCAGAGTTTTACTGGAGTTTCATTATGTAAGCGTAATGGACTGTTATTGAACTGAACCTCTACTTTCTCTCCTCTCCTTGGAGATCAGGAAGTCTGGCTGATATCACATGACTCAATGCCCCAGCCCTCTAATCACATGGTTGGTGTTTCTGGCATTGACTCATCCCATGGAAGGGCCCACCTTGAGTCACCTTGTTAGCATAAGAAAGACACTCCTGTCACTCAGAAAATTCTAATGATTTAGAGTTTTCCTTCCAGGAACCAGGGACAAAGACCAGTCAAATTTTTTATTATACAACAATATTCATAGTAAGTATATCTATAACCATCAATTATTTGTGTGTAAGAAGCAGTGTTAGAGGTTTTCTGGCTCAGTCTATTACATAATCAGATATCTCTTCTACAGTTTTAATGGTATAGAGAGTTGTTTTCATGTCTTGACTATTCAAAGCATAAGAAGCTCATTATTTCCCAAGGCAACCTATTCCTTAGTTTGACAAATTTAATAACTAGGTTTTTAAAAAATATTAGATGATAAACCCTATAATTGTAGTGACATTCTAGTTCTTCCTCTGGAGAAATAAGGAATAAGTCTATTGCTTCTTCCATCAGAAAAGACTTCTAATATTTGAAGACCACTACCATGAAACCGTAGTCTTTTTTTTTTTTTTTTTTTAAGATTTTACTTATTTATTCATGAAAGACAGAGAGAGGCAGAGACACAGGTAGAGAGAGAAACAGGCTCCATGCCAGGAGCCCAATGTGTGACTCGATCCCAGAACCCCAGGATCACGCCCTGGGCCAAAGGCAGGCGCTTGACCACTGAGCCACCCGGGCATCCCTTTAGTCATTTTTTTCTTTTCCCTGTCTTATGTTCTCCAGGTCAGTGGTCTTTTTAAAATTTATTTTTTGACTATGCAGCACTATCATTAAAGTAAATTTTGAGCAGAGCTCCAATATATACACTATATGTATCAACTATATGTCAGTTATATAAATGCACCCTTGTTGACCTATATATTAAGAAGTGATACAGCTTATATTTTATTAAAAGATAAAAGTAAACATGAACGAAACTTCTAGTATTTTTTTCTGTACCTCATGAACTTCTTTGGAGATTACAGTTTTATATTTGACTTTCCACAATATGTCCTAAGATATGCTCTCTAGTTTCCCTAGCTAGTTGTCCTCTTGTAGATATTAGCCTAGGTTTTCTGGGTTGTCCAGAAATATGTTGTACACAGATATCCTGTAAATGGTTTTTGATCAACACAGAAAATGCAGTGGGATTTCTTTCCTATGATCATTATATTTCTGTTAATGCAGTCTGAGATTGTATTAGTGTTTAAAGGAAGCATATCATGCTCTTGGGTCTTTTAGAAAGTATTGGCCACACCTTTGGACTCTAGGCTCTCTTCAGTAACTCCCCTCCAGTATTACTTTTTTTCTTTTCTTTTCATCTAAGAATTTATATTCTTTCCTCTGCTTTTCTACTCAGATTGATGTATGACCATAGAGATTATGCTTATTTTAGTACTAGTTTTACAGTTGTAAAGATATTCCACTGTTACACTGATGGAGAAATTATTTTGCCAAGCATGGCTTTTTGTTTGTGTGGAGTGGCTAGGGATGACATCTACCTCATGTGAACACATCCAAAGCTTCTGGAGGATGTTTGGAAAGTTGCTTGCTCTTCAGGAAAGACAAAGTGTCTTGTTAATAATAAGTTCTAGATTTCCTTCACTATGTCCTTTAGATCTTAACTCTATCCCTTACTATACTTGAGCTCCTCACAGAGAGCTCTGAGCAAGCTAAGAATGATAATTCCTCATGTTTATATTAAATGTAGTATATATGTTTATACTCTTTAAAAATTTTTTTTCACATAACTCACATATATTTACTTGTTTATAGTTTGTCCCACTAGAATGTAAGTTCCATATCTGCAAAGACTTATGTCTTGTTCATCTCCTGCACCTAAAGCAGCACCATTATTTATAATGAAAGGGACTTAAGTGTTTGTTTACAGGTTAATCCCCTTCCTCTACATCTCTGTCCCACAACTCACACATACCTGGTCTGGTCTGTAAATTCCTAACGACTCTTTTTTGGTCTGCCTTTTTTGTTTAATTTGTACCCCTCCGTCAGATTGACTTTCCTTCCAGGCCTAATTGGGTTATGTTACTCTAACCATACTGATCTTTTTTCTTCAGTCCAGACCTTTTAATTACCTTCAAAAATATAATAGTGTAAATATTCTAAATTTCTTTCTTTATGTGTGTTTCCATTTAAAATTTTAAGTCATGTGCATTTAGTTGTAGTTTAAATTATACTTTTTAACAGCTTTGTTGAGGTATAATTGCATGTTAATTGGCCCATATTTAGAGTCTAAAAAATGAGACATTCTGACATGTATAAAATTGTAAGTATACATAAATCTTGACATATGTATACACCCATATATATATCACCATAATCAAAATAATGAACATATTTATTACTTAGTTTCTTTTTGACTGTTTGTAATCTCCTTTCCCATCCCCAGGAAACTACTGATTTGATTTCTGTCCCTATAGCTTGTATTTTCTAGAAATTTCTATAAATGGAAGCACACAGTATGCAGTATTTGGCTTCTTTTCACTCAGCTTTTTGAGACTCCTTTATATTGCTGCATGTATCAATAATTTTTTTCTTTTTAATGAGGAGTAGTATTCCACAATTTCCATGTTCATTGACTTGCTGATGAACATTTAAGTTATTTCTAGTTTGGGATTATTACAAATAAAATTTCTGTGAACATTTGTGTACTAGTCCTTATATAGGTTTATGCTTTTATTTCTCTCTGGTAAATTAGTTGTGGAATGGCTGGGACATATGTTAGATGTATGTTTAAGTTATAGGAAACCATGCCAACTGTTTTCCAGTGTGGTTCAACCACTTTACATTCTTACCCATCACTGTCCAAGGCTCCAATGTGCTTAGTCTTCTCACCAACACTTGATGTGTCAGTGCTTTAATTTTAGCCTTTCTGTTGGGTGTATAGTGCTAGCTCACTGATTTTGAGTAATCCTTTCAACTAATGATTTTGAACATCTTTTAATATGCTAATTTAGCCATCTTTATATATTTCCATTATATCTTTTTAAATATTTTGCACATTTTAAAACTGAGTTATCTTTTTCTTATTAAGTTGTAACTGGAAAAAAAAGTTGTAAGTGTTCTTTATTCTAGATGCAAGTATGCTGTTGTATATATGGATCTGCAAATATTTTTTTCACTCTGTAAGTTGTCCTTGATTAACAATAACTTGTGAAAAACAACATTATTTTGGCAAAGCCCAATTTATTATTTTTCTGTTATAATTTGTATATCGTTTGTCAGATTTAAGATGCCAATTTTTATTAAGATGCCAAATTTAAGGTCATTAAGATGCTCTCTTATATTAGAGAAGTGCTATAATTTTACCTTTTATATTTAGATCTATGATTCATTTTTTTCTATGATTCATTTTTAGGTAATTTTTGTTTATGGTGTGAAGTAAAGTTCCAGATTTTTTTTCTTTTTTTACAGTTGTTCCAGCATCACTTGTTTAAAAAGATTAGCCTTTTTCCATTGAATTACCTTTGAAGTTCACTATATATGTATGACTCTATCTGTGGATTCTCCATTCTATTCCATTGATCTAAATGTCTGTCTTTATCTCAATACTACATTGTCTTGATAGATGTAGCTTTATAATAAGCCCTGAAGTCAGTGTAAGTCCTCCAACTTTATTCTTTTTCTATTTGTTTTGCCTAGTCTATGTCCTTTGTATATGTATATAAATTTTGGAATCAGCCTGCCAATTTCTGTGACAAATGTCAGTAATTTGGTTGGGATTTTGTTGAATTTATCTACTAATTTGGACAGAATTGACAATTCTGAGGTTGAGCCATACATATGGTATATTTCTCTATTTAAGTTTTTTTAAATTTGTCACAGCAGTAGTTTATAGTTTTCAGGGCACAAATCTTTCATATATTTTGTGAGATTTACCCATAGTATTCTATATTTCTTAATATGATTTTAAATAGTATTGCTTTTTAAATTTCAATTTTGAATTTCTTGTTGCCAGGATATACAAGTACAACTGATTTTGTATATATCTTATCTTGCAACTTAGCTTACTATTTCTTGTAGGTTTTTCTTAAGATTTTCTATATAGACAATAATGTGACCCACAGAGAAACACAATTTTCCAATATGTGTGCCTTTTATGTCTTTTTCTTGCCTTACTGCAATAGACAGAAATTCCAGCATAATTTCTGCATTAACCTAGTGAGAGTGGACATTTTTACTTTGTTTCTGATCTTAAGGAGAGAGCATTCATTCTTTTATTATTATGTGAGCTTTAGCTTTTTCACAGATTTTCTTTTTCAAGCTGGGAACTTTGCTTCTATTTCTTTATTGCAGAGAAATTTTGTCATGGTAATTGCTGAAATGTATCCAGGCATTTTCTCCATTAACTGATATGATCATATGTGTTTTTTGTTTTTGTTTGGTCTGCTAGCATGATGAATTACATTGATTTTTCAATATAAAACCAAACTTTTATTCCTAGGGTAAGCCTTACTTGATCATGACTTATATAATCCTCTGTATGTATTGTTAAGTCTTGTTCAAGCTTCTTGAGGAGGGAAGGATGGGGCACAGTGGGAGACCTAGCCAAGAGTTAAGGGCAGTTAGCTGTGAGACTGTAGACATTTTCAGAGTGTTTTGATTCCAGTGGTTGTTGTTTTAGACTTTCAGACTGGGAAACAACCGTATTCATTAAAAGCTGTGAAAAAAGAGTAACAACATCCAGTGACTAACTGAAAAAAGACAAGAGGTGGTGTTGAAATTTCTAATCATTATTGTGGAATTTGTCTACTTATTTAGTTGTAGAAATTTTTGCCTTCTATATTTTGAAGCTCTGTTATTTGAAGTACATTTGAGATTGTTGTATCCTCTTGATGAATTGACCCCTTTATCATTATGAAATACCCATATTTATCCTTCTTGCCTAATAAACAGTCTGTCTTTATAAACAACTCATGCTAATGATCTAATCTTCCTACTACCAGTCATGAAATGGAGTCATTCTAAAGAAAGCACGTTTTAATGATCAGTTTTCCAAAGATGAAATGGACTCATTTAGCAAGTAATAAAACTTGAAATCCACTTTTGAAAACATGGGATAAACTTGTAGAGAGGTTATATATTATAATACCCGAATATTTTTGATCATTGGATTATATGCTTTTTTAAAATATGTCTTTCTTTCTTTCTTTCTTTCTTTCTTTCTTTCTTTCTTTCTTTCTTTCTTTCTTTCCTTTCTTTCTTTCTTCCTTCCTTCCTTCCTCCTTTCCTTCCTTCCTTCCTCCTTTCCTTTCCTTTCCTTTCCTTTCCTTTCCTTTCCTTTCCTTTCCTTTCCTTTCCTTTCCTTTCCCTTTTCCTTTTCCTTGCTTCCTTCCTTCCTTCCTTCCTTCCTTCCTTTTTAAAGAAGAGAACACAATTCTTTATTTTTTTAAGTAAGCTCTACACCCACAACCCAGAGATCAAGAGTCACATGAGTCACATGTTCTACCAACTGAGCCAGCCAGTCACCCCAAAATTAAATGCGTTTTGAAGTGCTTCCTCTGACCATTTCCAGTTACTTTATAATAATTAGGTGAAATTACTTCATATATTTTCTATCTCATGGTTCTTTTTGTCTATATACTGTTTATTCTGAAAACATCCCCCCCCCCGCCTTTTTAAAAGATTTATTTATTTATTAGAGAGAGAGAGCACACACATGCAGGAGAGGGCCTAAGAGGGAAAGAAACTAAGCGGACTCTGTGCTGAGGAGAGCTGGACGCAGGGCCTCTATCTCACCACCCTGAGATTGTGACCTGAGCTGAAACCAAGAGTCAGAAGCTTGACCGCACCACTCAGGTGCCCCTATTCTGAAACATCTCTTTTGATTTATACTGTGGTATTTGTACTTAGGCAAACTTGATAAAAAGTGTAGTTGCCATTTATTCTTTTTATCACTTATATACAGCATTGTTTCTTTTATTTTTAATGTAAATATTTTTCTGTACATATATTCCCTTCTTAAATGGATTGGAAGCTTTTCAAGGGAAAAGGTTGTCTTATCCTTCACTCCCTCATCCCCAACTCCCTGCCAAAATATTCCAAACACCTAACAAAACTACTGAGCAAATAAAATGGCTTCGGTTAGTATTATACTCACTAAAAGATGAAATTAGTTTTGTTGCTCTAAGCCCCAGAGAAGAGACAGGCTAGGTGTGGTGTTTTATTATTATGATAGAAGGTGTTGGAATTTTAAATCAAATTCTAGTTTGAATCACAGGGAAGGGAGCTTGCCACTTTTTGTGCAATGACAAGGTCAGTATATTATTGAACTTTGAATGAATTTGTTAAGTTTAAAAATATGTATTTACTTGCCGTTTATGGAGTTTGTTTTTATCATCTCATAAAATTTAATTTTTACTTTTATTTTCTTAAATCAGTTCTTGGAACACCTCACAGCTTGCCCCATCTGATGAACCCATCCATCTCCCCGGCGTTTTTGCATTTGAATAAAGCACATCAGGTATATAAATAGCATTGAGTACTGACATAAAAACTTGGAGTGACTCATTTGTTCATAAAGTTTAAAATTCTCAAAAATTAAAAAACTATTTTGTTTTTTAAACAAATCCTTACTAATAACTATAGCTACGTGAAAGCATGAGTACATGAGATCAAATTAAGTTCATCAAAGCAGTATAGTTCTATCTACTGATTTCTGCTTATAGGGCATTAAGAAGGGAAGGAGGTGTATTTTGTGGCATATTTTTCTAAAAATAAGTGGTTAAAAAGTCTTATGTGGTCTTAATTCAGAGCATTTATAGAAAGAGAAAAAAATGAATATGAACTCTTAATTCTTGAAATTTAATCTGTATAGAAATAACTCATGTAGGAATAAAAAATATTTTTCTTCCTTTTTTCAGATAAATATTTTAGAATGTATTTGTATATATAAATGTATTATTGAGAATAAACAGGGCTTATGAATTTCAGGTGCTGCTGACGGCTGTATCTGTGTAGGAGTCAAATTACAAGTGCAACCTAATGCATAATAGATGATTGATGGAGATTGAGTGAATGAACATCTAGTCCTAAATGCAGCTTTTTAAGGGAAAGGTTTATCTTTTATTTAGTTTTCATTCTTAGAATCTAACATAGGATCTTGTACATTATAGGGATATATATATATATATATATTTATTTAAGATTCTATTTATTTATTTGAGAGATAGAAAACAGAGGGAGAGCTCTCTGCTGAGCAGAGAACTTGATGTGGGGCTCAATCTTAGGACCCTGAGATCATGACCTGAGCCAAAGGCAGATGCCCAGCCAACTGAGCTACCTAGGCACCCCCATTATAGGGTCTTTATTCCTTCATTTATTCAACATATTTTATTGAGAATCTAATGTGTACTGGATACTCTGCTAGTCATTGAAACTATAGCATTGAAAGAAAATTAATAGTCCTTGTTCTTCAAGAATTTCAAAAACTATAAGAAACAAGTGTTAATAACAGTAAGTTATGAAGAGTGACGTGAGAGAGGAGTTCAGAGTATTGACAATATTTTCTTTATTTTAGAACTAAGACTAGAATGTTTAATTTTGCCCAGAAGACCTATCCAAGCTGGCCTCTCCTGCTTGTTGAGTATCACCATCCCAGCAACAGTGGCCTGCTTTTGGTCCTCAGAGGACCTTGATCTCTTCTCCTTAGGTCTTTGCTCCTCTGTTATTCCTTCTGCCTGGCATGCTCTCACCCCAACACAACCTAAGTTCATAAATTTTACCTACTTACTCCTCCATAGCCTTCAGATATCTGTACCAGAGTTCCTTCCTTGGGGAAACTTTCCCTGAATTTACCAGTCTAAATCAAATCCCCAACTATTCTCATAGCTCCTGTATTTTTCCTTCATATCCTCATCACCATTTGTAATTATGCTTTTGCAATTAATGAATGTCTCCCTTTCCCAGGCGCCTCTAAGATCTGTGAGGGCAGGTCTTATTTTGTATTTCTCACTATATAGCATAATGTCTGGCACATAGAGAGTGCCCAATAAATATCTGTTGGATGATTAAATGAATAAATAAATGATTGAATGCTGCTGACATTAAAGCCAAAAAGGGATGAGGGGAGGAAGAATGATGAAAAGAAAAAAGGAGAGGATGTAGAGTTAGTTTCATGACTACATGATCACATCTTGTGTATTAAGAGTTAATTAGCATTGCCTGAAGTGGGAAAGTGGCATATTAAGAAGCTGTTGCTTTTGCTCTGAACTTAAAAATGAATTGGGTTCTATAGCAAGTAGCTTTCAAAGTTAAACTAACTTAATGCTTTATCATTTTCACAGAGTGCAGTTATGGGTAATACTTCCAATTTATTCCTTCAGAATCTTTCTCATGTACCACTGGCGCAGCAACAATTAATGAAATTTGAAAATATTCATACTAATAATGTAAGTATGGAATAATTTTTTTTCTTTTAACTGAATTCATTCCTTTTCTATATTCAGGCTGCTGGTCAGATTGTTGATGAATTACCACATGTGTAGCCTTTTCATTAGATGATATCCTGCTGCCATGGGCAGAAATCTTCATTTCTTTTTTTCTTTTGCAGAAACCAGGCTTACTTGGAGATCCCCCCGCCATGGTACTTCACACCACAGTGGGGATCGGGTCAGCACTTCCTTTGAATACAGAGTTGGGTCACCATGGAGAAGCACATAAAAGTAAATGACATGCATTTACTGAAGACTCAGTATACAGTCAAACATGAGATTTAAAGATGGTTTACCTATATTCTGCTTTTGTTTACAGAAAGGTCAAGTTTGAGCTCTATTCAGCCATTTAAAATTTTAAGAGCTCTCTTGGCTTTTCTACTTTTAATATTAGAAAACTATTGATAAGTTATTGATGGACTTGCTTCCATGCCAAGATCACACTTTCCTTGTCTGATGTGCTTTAATATTTGATGAAGGTTCACAGCAGCATGGGGCAAAGACACAGCACTCTTTGAGACTCATATGCTGCCCACTGGGCTGACAACATATTACCTAGATATCTGTTTAATTTTTGCCTGAATAAGAAGCCCTTACTATTAAAGAAATATGTGGTATTTTGATGTAAACGTTATTTATTTGATTATAATATTTTTTAAATGTGACCCCCAAACTAGTAGAAGAAAAATAATGTGTATACTCTGTACTTCTGAAAAGATGACAAATTTAAACAAAACAATGATTTTTTAGAAAAACAAGTGCATGTGGTATACCAAGATTTCTTACTTGAATGCGATGTTGAAAGGCACTTTCAGTTTGAAGTGTAATTGAAATTGTTTGAAGTGATTATGCTGGGAAAAGAGAAGGGCCACCAGTAATTAAAAAAGAAAAGTTGTTAAATATGGGTAGCAGATTTAGCTTCTATGTAAAACTGATGAGTCAGTGATCCAGTGAATCAATCAGTTCTGTTGACTATTAGAATTGACTGCATGAATGTTGAGCTAGTATACAGATATAGAAATTTTATGGTATGTTGGGACCTGTTCAAAAAATTAAATTTTGTATCACTAAAAGTTTATACATATGTTAATTATTTGTGTTGGATTAAATAGTAAGCTATTTGCTTTAGCATGCACTGCTTTAAGGACATTGAAAATTCAGCATGCGGATAAATACATTGCTAAAAGAAGCTAAGTATCCACCTCTATTTAGTACTAGAAATAATTTAAGAAATTTATGTAGTGAATTTGTAAAACATAAATTTGACTTAGTTATCAAAATTAGCTCTTTTTATTTTGAACTATAGATTTTTTTAAAAAGTGGAATGGTTCAGAATTTTCCTATTAAAACTTTCATTTCTTCCAGAATTTCTTATTTCCTACAAATAAAAAAGTAAAACTTTGATGTGTTAAATTTGGTGCCTATCTATTCACAAATATTAATGTTTTGTAAACCAGCAATGTGATATTTAAAACCATCTCTTTAGGTTTTAAAAAAAAGTCTTGATTTTTGTAGCATTTATGGAGTTCTTTGTATAAATGCTACAACCCATGGCCAGTTGCACGCTACCCATGGGAAGACATTGAATTCAGGAGCTGGGAAAAGAGATACACACTGTTGGTTATTATAAACCAGCGCAAGTCAGCTGATCAAGTTTATTGTTGGATTTAACTTTATTAAAATGCCAAAGTATTTTTTTAACTGAAAACTTATTTAATTATTCCCTTCAAATATGGAAGCAAACTAGTGATTGAGCATAAAAAGGAATGTACCTAAGTGCCAAAAAGTATATATATTTTGCTCTCAAATTCTAAAATATACAATTAAAATTTGGAATTTAAAAATATCCTTGAGATTATCCTAGAAGTTGTTGAAAATAGGAAAAGCATGACTACTGTTCTAGGTTTCTGTTTTCCCATATAGAAACCTACTGCTTTACAACCACTAACTTCACCTTTTAAGTTTAACTATTCTCTGATAGATACAAAATAGGTGTCTCCACATTTCCCCCGTAAGTTAACAAAACCACAAGGACTGTTGTGAATAGCTCTTGTCTAACCAAAAGCTTCTTGAATTTGTGGTTCACTACAGCATCTAATCTGATTCCAACTCAAACAACTTTAACAGCTGGAATGGGAATATTGCCATTCTTCCCAAATCAGCACATTGCTGGACAAGCTGGGCACGGGAATACTCAGGAGAAACAGCCAGCCTCGGTGGGGAAGGCAGAAGGAAATTTCTCAGGGTCACAGGCTTATCTTCAGAGCTTTCCAAACCTTACTGTTGGAAGCTTGCTGACAGGACACCATAAGCAACAGCAAAGTCAGCCGAGAGGCACAGAGATAAGTTCAGGGGTAAGAAAACTGTGTGTGTGTGTGTGTGTGTGTGTGTGTACACACGTGAACATGTGTACTTGTGTATATTACATGTGTGTAGATGCTATGCAGGAATATATATGTATATATGTTCATATACATGTTCAACATATATATGTGTGTTCTTTTAAAAACATCATAAATGAAATTATTCTGATTCTAGAAGATTCTAATTTGGGGGCTATTTTACAAGTAGAATAATTTATGAAATATAAAGAATCTTAACTATTTTTTAAATTTCAAATAAAATAAAGTGTATATGGATTACAAACTAGATAATTGATATATGTTAATGATATGATTTTTTCATAGTGTGCATTTACTTCTCAATCTAGAAGAAAGTATTGCACTCTTTAAAAAAAAACCTGTTATTATAAGCAAACAGAACTCCATCTTTTCATAAATGATGCCAGCTGATGGTTGGGACTATGCTTCATTACTTACAGTTTGTAAATAAAATCATTTTAAATTGAGTAAAATGGGTTTTTTAAAGTCTGTTACTGTAAAATACATATAAATTCTTTATTATAGATATTTGCTTTTCTGCAAAGTTTGAGATACTAAAAAACTTGATTTAAAAAAATATTATTTATTTGAGAGAGAGAGAGAGTAAGCAAATGAGCATGAGTGGGGGGTGTGGATGGACGGAAGAGGGGCAGAGAGATTGGAAAAAGGAGAAGCAGACTCCCTGCTGAACAGGGAGCCCACCACAACTCAGTGCTCAATCCCAGGACCCTGGAATCATGACTTGAGTCGAAGGCAGACTGACTAAGTCACCCAGGTGCCCAATGCTTGATTATTTTAGAAATTAAATATAAACTGAGTTCAAAATTTTATAGCTTAGAAAAGCTTAAGAGTATCATTAAAACTTATCCAGTTATATGCTATTATTTATGAGACTTTCTAAGTTAATGCTCTTCAAAATAATGTTTTTTACTTTAAAGGTATGTTGTATAACTAAGAAGGGTGTTACTTTAATATTGGAAGGCAGAACCAATTTTTATCTTAAAAATGTCAAAGTCATTTATTAAACTCTGGTCTACTCAAAAGAATCTACTCTGTGTTTTAATTCTGGAAGATTTTACCCAATTATGTTATTGGTTCTTAGACCAGTGACATTTGTAAATGTTATAATTGATAGGTAGAATAAAGTACATTTAGTTTTTGTTCATACCCTGAAATACTATTTGGTTTGTATGTGGTATAAGACTCGTGTTATAAGTAGCATGTGAGGAAAAAAATGCATGTAGTTCGCTGTATTCAAATGTCAAAATAATAATATTGAATTTGAAGGAGGTTTCATTGTCAGCAAGTCATAGCAGCAGGTATAGATAGAATGGTATCTACCATAGTTCATTGAAAAAGCTAAGGCAATTCTAGAATAAATTTTAAAAATTTATCTGCAGTATTAATTTCTTGGGTTATTGAGGGAACTTAAACACATAGAACTCCTGTGTGAATATACTGTGTCTTTTTGCACAGAAAGCACCAGATTTTTGGGAAAGCTTGATTTGAGGTGATTCACATAATGAGCAGAGTCTCAGGAAGAAAACAGCCAAAGTGGCCCAGGGCCTGGAAAACAAGTTCTATGGAAAGAACTGAGGGATATGGATACATGTAACTCAGAAAGGGAGGATCAGCTGGATATATATTAAAAAATGTATACACTCTCAGGCTAGTTCCATGGTATTTTGTGTTTCACCAGTAGTCAGAGCTAGTCCAATAAGTATGACATACAATAAAGCAAATTTAGGCTTAATATAACAAACAACAGTCAAAGCTTTCCAACAAAGAGAAAGCTGAAACAATTAAGTGGACCCCAGGTGAGCGTTGGTACAGATTGTTGTAGAAATAATTCCTCTTTCTGACAATAGGAATTTGGACCAGGGATTCTCAAAGTAGGTTTCCAAGATTTTTGACTTTGCTGAACATAATTGGTTTAACCTGGTTTTAGATTTTTAGACCTACATTAAAAAAATTTTTTTATTAAGGTATAATTGATATATAGCATTATATTAGGTTCAAGGATATTACATAAGGATTCGACATTTGAATGTATTACAAAATGATCATCGCAATAAGTCTAGTTAACATCCATTACCATACATAGTTATCATTTTTTTTCTTGTGATGACAACTTCTAAGATCTACTCTCTCAGCTACTTTCAAATACGACATGGTATTAACTATTGTTGCTGTGCTGTATATTACATCCCCGTGATTTATTTATTTCATAACTGGGTGTTTATACCTGTATCTATGAACTTGGTTTGGGGGACAGCGAGGTTTGCTTATACATAGGAGTGAGATTATATGGTATTTGTTTTTCTCTAACTTTTTTCACTTAGCATAACGCCCTCAAATGCTATCCATGTTATCACAAACAGCAAGATTTTCTTCTTTCTTAAGGCTGATTATATACACACATTTTCTTTATTCATCCATCAAAGAACACTGATGTTTTTGTATCTTGGCTGTTGGGAATAGTGCTACAATATGCACCATCTCTTTGAGATAGAGATTTCATTCCCTGTGAATATATTCATAATCACTGAATCATATGGTAATTCTATTTTTCATTATTTTAGGAACTTTGATACTGTTCCCTATTATGGCTATATCCTTTTTCTTCCATTGAGTAGATTGTGTTTTCCTTTTGTTGATGGTTTCCTTTGCTATATGGAAACTTTTTAGTTTGATGTAGTCTCAGTTGTTTACTTTTGTTTTTGTTGCCTATACTTTTGGTGCCATGCCCAAAAAATCATTGCTAAGACTAATGTCAAGAAGCTTTTCCCCTATATTTTCTTCTAGGGGTTTTATGGCTTCAGTTACTACTTTTAAGTCTTCAATCCAATTTGAGTGAATTCTGATGTATGATGTAAGATCATGATCCAGTCTCAATTTTTTAGCGTGTGGATGTCCAATTTTTCCAACACCGTTTATTAAAGAGACTGTCCTTTCCCCATTGTGGATTCTTGACTCCCTTGTCAAGGATTTGTTGGCCACATACATGTTTGTTTATTTCTAAGCTGTCTATCTCATTTGGTCATGGTGTACAGTCTTTTAATGTATTGTTAAACTCTGATTGCTAGTATTTTGTTGAAGTTTTTGCATCTATGTTTATCAGGGATACTGGTCTGTAATTTTATTTTCTTGTAGTGTTCTTGTCTAGCTTTGGTATGAAGGTAATGCTGGCTTCATTAAATAAATTAGGAAGTATTCCCTCCTCTTCAATTTTTTTGGAAGAGTTTCAGGAGAAATGGCATTTTTTTTTTTAAGATTTATTTATTCATGATAGAGAGAGAGAGAGAGGCAGAGACACAGGCAGAGGGAGAAGTAGGCTCTATGCTGGGAGCCCGACGCGGGACTCGATCCCAGGACTCCAGGATTGCGCCCTGGGCCAAAGGCAGGCGCCAAACTGCTGAGCCACCCAGGGATCCTCCAATTTTTTTTTTTAATGTCTGGTAGAATTCACCAGTGAAGCCACCTGGTCCTGATATTTTCATTGTTAGGAGGTTTAGGATTACTCGTTACCCCATTATTGGTCTGATAAAATTTTCTATTTCTTTATGATTTGGTTTTGGTAGGTTGTAAGTTTCGAGAAATTTACCCATTTTTTTTTTCCTGGATCATCCAGTTTGTTGGCATATATTTCTTGGTAATAGTCTCAGGATCTTCTATATTTCTGTGCTATCAGTTTTAATGTCTCCTCTTGCATTTGTAACTATTCGAGTCCTCTCTCTTTCTTTTGGTTAGTCTATTTAAAAGTTTCTCTATTTTGTTTATCTCTTCAAAACCCCAACAGTTTCATGGATCTTCCCAGTCTCTTTTATTTCTGTTCTAATCTTTATTATTTTCTGCCTAATTGTGGGCTGGGTTTGTTCTTTTTCTAGTTCATTGATGTGTAATGTTTGAGATCTTTTTTTCTTCATGTAGGCATCGCTATAAACTTCCCTCTTAGAACTACTTTTGCTGTATTCCCTAAGTTTTGGTATCTATACTTTCCATTTTCATTGGTCTCAAGATACTTTTTAATTTCTCTTCTTCTTGGAGCTAGTCATTATTCAGGAGTGTATTGTTTAATTTCTGTATATCTGTGAATTTTCTAGTTTCCCTCCTGTTACTGATTTCTAGTTTCATACCATTGTGGTCACAACAATACTTGATATTATTTCAATATCCTTAAATTTGTTCTGACTTGTTTTGTGGCCCAACATATCTGTTTATTCTTTGTCTGTCTGTGTCTCTTTTTCTTTCTTTCTGCTTCTGCTTCTGCTTCTGGTGTCAGACCCAAAAAAGCATTGGTAAATTCAATATTATGAAGCATTCCACCTAAGCTTTTAAAGTTTTATAATTTTAGGTCTTGCATTTATGTCTTTAATCTTTGAATTAATTTTTGTATATGGTGTAAAGTGAGGATCCACTTTATTATTTCACATGCAATATCCAGATTTCCCAGCACTTTAGTGAAAAGACTGTCCTTTCCCCATTGAATAATCTTGACACTTTTGTCAAAAATCATTTAACCATATATGTAGAGACTTACTTCTGGGTTTTCTATTCTATTCCATTTGTCTGTATGTCTGTCTTTATGCTAGTACTACCCTGTTGAGATTACTGTAGCTTTGTAATAAGTTTGAAATCACAAAGTATGAGCCTTCCATTCTTGTTCTTATTTTTCACCTTATTTTCAACATTGTTTTGACTATTTGGGGTCCCTTGAAACTCCATATGAATTTTAGTGTGGATTTTTCTTTTCCTGCAAAAAAAAAAAAAAAGTGGAATCTTGATAGGGACTATATTGAATCTCTCAGTCACTCTGGTTAGTATCGACATTTTAACAGTACATCTTCTAATCCGTGAACATAGGATGTCTTTCCATTTATTTATGTCTCTTATTCTAGCAGCGCTCAAAAAAATTTGGGGGGGGTACGCCTGGGTGGCTCAGTGGTTGGGCATCTGCCTTTGGCTCAGGGCGTGATTCCAGAGTCCTGGGATCGAGTCCTGCTTTGGGCTCCCTGTAGGGAGCCTGCTTTTCCCTCTGCCTATGTCTCTGCCTCTCTCTTTCTCTTTCTCTCTCTCTCTCTGTCTCTCATGAATAAATAAAATCTTTAAAAGTAATAAAACATTTTTTAAAAATTAATTTATTTATTTTGGAGAGAGAGCTGGCAGGGGGAGGTAGATGGAGAAGAGGAGAGAATCTCAAGCAGACGCCATGCTGAGGGCAGAGCTCCACACGGGGCTCAATCCCAGGACCCCAAGATCATGACCTGGGCTGAAATCAAGAGTTGGATGTTTAACCAACTGAGCCACCCAGGTACCCCTGTTTTTAAAATTTTTAATATTTAATACAGTATGTTCAAAATGTTACTTTAAAATGCGATATATACTAAACTATTAAGATATTTTATATTCTTTGGTACTGTTTGAGATTTAGTATATATTTTACATTCTGCATACATCTCAGTTTAAACTATCCACATTTCTTATGCTCGGTAGTCATGTGTAGCTAGTAGCTACCATGTTGGACAGTGCAGTTTTAGATATATCGTGGCTTAATCCCTCACTTTATTGAGATTTCACTTTCAGCCATGTTGTATAGTTTTTAGTGAACAAGTAGTTTTATTCCCTGCTTCAGTTAATTCTTAAGTATTTTTTTTCTTTTTTACTCTATTGCAAATGGAATTGTTTTCTTAATTTTCTTTTTTGATTGTTCATTGTTAATGTGTAGAAATGCAACTGATTTTCGTATGTTGATTTCATATCCTGCAACTTTGCTGAATTCATTTATTCTAATAGTTTCTGTCTGTGTATGTGTAATATTTAGGGTTTTCATGCTTCTGCAAGCAGAAATCACTTTCTTCTTCTACTCTAGTTTGGATGTCTTTTATTTCTTTTTTCTACTTAATTGCTCTGACTAGAACTTCAAATATTATGTTAAATAGAAGTGTGAAAGCAGACAGTTTTGTCTTGTTCTTGATGTTAGAGGAAAAAATTTCAGTCTTTCACTATTGAGTATGATGTTGAGCTTTCATATATAACTTTTGTTATATTAAGGTAGCTTTCTTCTATTCCTACTTTGCTGGGTGTGGTTGAATTTTATTTTTTGATTTTTCTTTTTTTAAAAGATTTTATTTATTTGGCACATAGAGAGCACAAGCAGGAGGAGCTGCAGCAGGAGAGGGAGAAGCAGGCTCCCTACTGAGCAGGGAGCCTGATGCAGGACTCCATACCAGGACCCTGGGATCATGACCCTTAGCTGAATACAGATGCTTAACCAACCAAGTGACCCAGGCACCCTGAATTTTTTTTAAGTATGTATGTATGTATGTATGTATGTATGTATCTATCTATCTATCTATCATCTATCTATCTATCTATCTATCTATCTATCTATCTATCTATCTATCTATCTATCTATGAGAGCACACAAGCAGGAAGAGCAGCAGAAGGGGAGGGAGAAGCAGGCCCCCATCAGCAGGGAGCTGATGTGTGGGGCTCAATCCCAGGACCCTGAGATCATGACCTGAGCTGAAGGCGGATGCTTAACCAACTGAGCTACCTAGGTGCCCTGCGTGTATTGAATTTTAATCATGGAAGCATGTTGAATTTTGTCTAATGGAGGTGATTATGTGCTTTTTTTCTCCATTCTGTTAATGTAGTATTTTATGTTGAATGATTTTTGTTTGTTAAATCATCCTTGCATTCTAGGAATAAATCCCAGTTGGTTATGGTGCGTAATCCTTTTAATCTACTGAATTTGTTTTGCTAGTGTTTCGTTGGTGGTTTTAGCACCAATATTTATAAGGTGTACTGGTCTGTAGTTCTCTTTCCTTTTGGTGTCTATCTGGCTTTGGTACCAGGACAATGCTGGAAGTATTCTCCATCAGTCTTGTGGAAGAGTTTGAGAAGAATTGGTGTTAGTTTTTCTTTAAATTTTGTTGAATAGTGATTTAAAGGGGCACATACACCCCAATCTTTATAGCAGCAATGTCCACAATAACCAAAATATGGAAAGAGCTCAGATGTCCATCAACAGATGAATGGATAAAATGTGGTATGCGTACACACACACACACACACACACACACACACACGGAGGAATATTACACAACCATCAAAAAAGAATGAAATCTTGCCATTTGCAATGACATGGATAGAATTAGAGGGTATTATGCTAAGGGAAAAAAGTCAAGAAAGACAGTTATCTTATGATTTCACTCATTTGTGAAATTTAAGAAATAAAGCAGATAAACATAGGAGAAGGAAAGGAAAAATAAAATAAGATGAAATCAGAGAGGGAGACAAACCACAAGAGACTCTTAACTATAGGAAACAAACTGAGGGTTACTGGAAGAGAAGGGGGTAGGGGAATGGAGCAATTGGGTAAAGGCCATTAAGGAGGGCACATTATGGAATGAGCACTGGGTGTTATGCAACTAATGAATCACTAGACTCTACCTCTAAAACTAATACACTATATGTTAATTAATTGATTTTAAATTTATTAATAAATAAAGAGGTTTTGTTGAATTACCCAGTGAAGCCATATGATCCAAAGTGCTTTTTTTTTTTTTTTTGGTTGGCAGACTGTATTTTAAAATATTTTATAAGTGATTCTCTTTCATAGCTTGAGTTGAGAACCCCTGATAGGATAGAATATGATTTCCTTGGCAATCTAAGCACTTGAGAAACAAAATCTGAGAGTACTATGTTGGCTCCCTTTATTCAATCACTGAATTCTTCCTAGGGCGCCACTGTCTTTCCTCATGCTATATACTCTTCTTTAGCAAATATGTAATGATTTTAGCTCTAACCTAGAATCTTATGGTTCTGTCTTAGACTTCTTTTGAACTATCATATACTTGACTGTGAATTTCTTAATGGTAGTATTTCTGTCTTACTCATTTTAGTATTATTAGTGCTTAGCACAGTGTCTGGAGCATGGTAAGCAACATTCAGTAAGCACACTTGAACAGATAAATACATCTGCATCTGTGATTTACATATCACAAGCAAATCTGGACTTCTACATGAAGATGTACAAGACAGATCAAATACAATAATTTTGGCCAGATAAGGGAGAAATAAACGGAACTGTGGCTCTCAAGTATAGAAATAAGCACTTGAGATTACATATCCTTTGTTCCGTTCAGGGAACAAAATAAAAATTAATTTGAAAAGAAAACTTAGCAGCTAGCTCTAATCATAGTAACTTGAATTATCTTATTTAAAAATTTTTGCCAAAAGAGAGTAAAAAGTAAAAAATTCTGTGAGAACAAAATGAAATAATCTGAAGAACCAGCCCTATCCTTCTGTTAAACATTAGAACCCTTACACTTAGTTATACAAAATTTACTGATATATTTTCAAGAAATGTGAATTTTTAGGGTTATCTAAATGTGGATTTGGATTTTATTAAATTCACTTATTTTGTTTGGTAGTATTTTTAGAACAGAGATAAGTAAGCTTTTCTTTATCATTTGGCTGTAGCATGTGCTATAAAATAAAAATCTATTTTTAAAGATTTTATTATTCATGAGAGACAGAGAGAGAGAGAGAGACAGAGGTAGAGGTAGAGGGAGCCCGATGCAGGACTCAATCCGGGGACCCCAGGATCATGCCCTGGGCCAAAGTCAGGCGCTAAACCGCTGAGCCACCAAAGCATCCCTATAAAATAAAAATCTTAATAGGAAAATGTGGATAGCAGTATTTCTGGAAATAAGGTATGGGATTTGTTTTTTCTCTTGAAATTGAATTCTCTCCTAGTTCAAATGGGAAGGATTTACAGGAAGACCTTTAATTCTCTTTCAGTTCTAAAGTTCTATGGTTCTAGAATAGTTTCTTAAAACTAATTAAAAAATAATAGTAAGTAATGTGATAATTTTAATTAATATCCAGAAATAGTCCATAACTTCATGTTTTCAAGCATTAGGTTCCACAAATTTTTATTACAGTAGACTAGATTTATTGAAGAACAAGTATTTCTCTACTCTTTCTGCATTTTTATTTTCTTGTACCTCTGATTAAACACCTATTGTTCTGTTTTTGATAAATAGGCTGCCTCCAAGAATCAGACTTCACTATTGGGAGAACCACCAAAAGAAATACGGCTCAGTAAAAATCCATACTTGAACTTGGCAAGTGTGTTACCCAGTGTGTGCTTATCATGTAAGTAGTGAGAGCTCAGTATTAATATTTTGGAGTCTTATTGAAAATGTTCCATAATCAGTTATCCTTTAACTTTTAATTGAGTAGAAGCCAATAATACTTATTGGCTATGAAAGCCTAAATTATGACCCTGCTTTTTAAATTAAAGAATAACTAAAATTAAGACACTTAAATTACATTCTAATTATCTAAGGAAAACATCTTTTGCAATATTTTATTAAGAATATAATTAATTTATTAAATCACAATAGAAAATAATTGGGCAAGGGAATTATTAGCAAAACTATAATGTTTTACAATACATATAGAATCACATTGCTAAAATAGAGGTTTAAACCTCTAAGTATCTCATATATCCAGAAGATTTGCAAACTACCCCCAAAATACGTGAACTAATAATAATTGGCAGAAATTGAACTCATATTTACTTTTTTGGAAGACCTTCTCAGGCCTTCGATTAGGGTAAATTAATTATTAAATATAGTTTTAAGGGAAAATCACCAACGTGGTATGTTTTAGTTACTAGGATATTCACTACAATGTTGGTTGTCAACAGTGTAATTGAAAAGTGCCTTAATGTTCATCAATAGGGGGATGGTTAAGTGAAAAATAGTTTATCATAAAATGGAATACAATACAGCTTTTTTATTAGTTGAGGGAGAGCTACATGTACTAATATGAAATTATCTCTAAGGCAAACTATGTGGAAAAAGCAAATGCTTGCAAAATGATTCCATTTGTGTTTCCTTTAAGCTATACTTTTTTTAAAAAAAGATTGATTTTATTTATTTATTTATTTATTTATTTATTTATTTATTTATTTATTTATTTATTTATTTATTTATTTGAGAGAGAGAGCAAGCAAGCACGAGCAGGGGAAGGGGAGGAGGGAAATGGAGAAACAGACTCCCTGCTGAGCAGGGAACCTAACATGGGGCTCAATCCCAGGACCCTGGGATTATGACCTCAGCCAAAGGTGATGCTTAACTGATTGAGCTACCCAGGCACCCCTCAAGCTATATATTCTTATGTGTACATGTGTAATGTGTAAATAGACACAGTAAATCTGGGAAAATAAGTTCTAAACTGTTACCTCTGGGAAAAAAGAGTAGAATTGAAAGAAAAGAAAGATTTTAGTATAAATTCTCTGTATTTTATGAAGTATCCTCTTGAACCTAGACATTAATTTGTAATTTTTTATAAGAGCCAGAAAAAAAATTTAATGTGCTTCTTGTATACCTACTGCATTTTTATCTGGTCGAAAAATTGACAGTTACAACTATTGCATTAGCAATAATGATTAGTTTACATTTTGTTTGCCTTCTTTTAGAGATTAGATATATATCTTAAAAATGTTTCCATTAGAATTATTTATCCACAGAGCAAACTTCCATTTTCATTTGCTTTCAATGTACAAGACAACATCATATACTATATATTCTTCTCCTGGGGATAAAAAATATAGATATATACTGGCAATGAAAATTTGTGTTCTGCTTGGGAAAATGTTGAATTAATAACAAGTTTTGTATTTTGTTTATAATTTATAACAAAACAACTTTTGGCTAAAAATAGTATTGATTTTTGCCTTTAGCCCCAGCAAGTAAAACCACTCTACAGAAGACTGGAATTACAAGCAATATTCTGGATGCAATCTCTCAGGGAAATGAATCACAACACACATTGGAAAAGTGCATTTCTTATTCTCAACCTTTTGGTGATTATGCACAGGTAAATGATCCTCAGGTTTTGTTTTGTTTTTTTTAAAGATTTTCTTAATCTACGGGATCCCTGGGTGGCGCAGCGGTTTAGCGCCTGCCTTTGGCCCAGGGAGCGATCCTGGAGACCCGGGATCGAATCCCATGTTGGGCTCCCGGTGCATGGAGCCTGCTTCTCCCTCTGCCTATGTCTCTGCCTCTTTCTCTCTCTCTCTCTGTGTGACTATCATAAATAAATAAAAATTTAAAAAAAAGATTTTATTTATTTATTCATGAGAGACACAGAGAGAGAGAGAGAGGGAGGCAGACATAGGCAGATGGAGAAGCAGGCTCCATGCAGGGAGCCCAACGCGGGACTCGATTCCGGGTCTCCAGGATCAGGCCCTGGGCCGAAGGCAGCACTAAACCGCTGAGCCACCCAGGCTGCCCTGATTCTCAGGTTTTGATATCTAGAAAAATTGGTTCAACCATATATTGAGTTCACTGAATATGAAATTGTGATTCCTATAATATTATAGGAAAATAAAATTGCATTCATCTACACAGTATTCCTTGCTCACTTGGAATTTTAGGACATGTTCAAGAAATCATTTGCACTAGATATTTACCTCTCAGTGTTTACACTAGTGGTCAATGAGCTATAGACAAAATCCAGCCCACTTTTTGTTTTGTAAATAAAGTTTTATTGGAATACAGCCATGTCCATTCATTTATATACTGTTCATGGTGCTGTTGTGCCACAGTGGTAGAGGTGAATAAATACAATGGAGACTATATGACTCACAAGATTAAATATTTACTGTTGGGCTCTTTACAGAAAAACTCCTGATTTATGGTTTACACCAAAGCACACCTGACTATGGAACTCAAGGAAATGCCTCTGTTCTTCACCGTGGCTTGTTGAATCATAAACACCATCATAATTAGAGGCACTGTTATGCTAACGTTTAAACCAATCAACCATTAACATAAAAAGTATTATATTCAGAAGTAATTGTGCCGTTACCGCGTCAATTTTACTTTGCCCTTTTCTCTTTCAGGTTATTCTCGGTGGCTTAAGCTGAAAGTATATATCATGTTAGCAATATATGATGATATAATCATGGGAGTCTTATAATGACCAATTCTGATTCTTTCTTATTTCTTAGCACATCAGCTGCTTCTCAGCTCTGTCCTATCTGTGGGAGCAATGCTTCCACTTTGATTTCCTTGGAGCAACTGTTTGCCTCATCTGTCTCTAATAACCTTAGAAAAAAAACCTGTGTGAATTCACTTGGAAAAATTGATGCCTCATTATGCTTTTATGATAGGGTACTAGAAATACAGGTGAAATAGATTCTCTAAAAATGCTGCCGCCAGATATTAGAGTAATATATAAGAAAGTCTCTTACATACCTGTAGAAAAAATAGAAAACTATACGTTGGAAGATGATATAATTAGGTGCCAGCAGACTTACATCTAAGGAATGGTAATTATGAATTAATACAAATATAACCTCGAAAACATTCCCTCCCCATGTTTTATAAGATTCCATCTTTGTTCCTTTATTAGTTAACATTCTAAATAATGATTGAGATAAGGACGTTAATTGTATGCTAATTATACTTACAGGGGACAAAAAACAAGGAAATTATCAGAGATGTGTAAAATAACTTATAAATAATTTATAGTTCTGGAAACTAGAAACAGCCTACATTTCCAACAATTTATAAGACTAAGTAAACAAATTATGTCATATTTATTCCAGAAATGCAATGTAAATGTTAAAAATCAGGTAAAATGCTGTGTAAACGTATGGTACATGTTTCATAATCTATTGTTAATTTTAGAAAGCTTTAAAATATAGTTCTATACAATTCCAATTTTTTGTTTGTTTATAAGGAAAAAATGTACTTTTATAAGCAGGAGGAAGCACAATAAATTTTTTAAAATTTATTTAAACATGTTTTAACTTTTCATATGACTTTTTATTTTTTTTATCACTTTATCATAATAAGTGTACTTTTTAATCCCCTATCACTCCTACCACCCCTGACCTCTCCTCTGATAACCATCAGTTTATTTTCTATAGTTAAGAGTCTGCTTCTTGGTTTCTCTCTCTCTTTTTTTGTCTCCCTTTACTCATTTGTTTTCTTAAATTCCACATATGGAATGAGCGAAGTCATATGGTATTTGTCTTTCTTTGACTTATATTGCTTAGCTTTATACATTCTAGCTCTATCCATATTGTTGCAAATGGCAAGATTTCATTCTTTTGTACAGTTGAATCATATTCCATTGCATATATATATATATATATATATATATATATATATATATATATCACATCTTCTTTATCTGTTCACCTATCAATGGACACTTAGGCTGCTTCCATAGTTTGGCTATTGTAAATAATGCTGCAATAAACATAGGGCTGCATGCAACCCTTTAGTGTTTTTGCATTTTGCAGGTAATACTCAATGGTACAATTCCTGGATTATATGGTAGTTCTATTTTTAGTATTTTGAGAAATCTCCATACTGTTTTCCAGAGTGACTGCACTGGTTTGCATTCCCACTAACGGTGTATAGAGTTGGGGGGGGGGGGAGAGGAATGTCCTTTTTCTCCACACCCTTGCTAACACTTGTTGTTTCTTGTGTTTTTTATTATAACAGGTGGAAGGTGATATCGCATTGTAGTTTTGATTCTCATTTCTGTGATGATGAGTGATGTTGAGCATCTTTCTGTGTGTCTGTTAGCTATATGTATGTCTTCTTTAAGAGAAATGTCTGTTCATGTCTTCTGCCCATTTCTTAAATGGGTTATTTGTGTGTTGAGTTGTATCCATTCTTTATATATTTTGGATACTAACTCTTTATCAGATATATCATTTGCAAATTTCTTCTTATATTCTGTAGGTTGTCTTTGAATTTTCTTGTTTCCTTTGCTGTGCAGAAGCTTTTTATTTTGATGTCATCCCAAGAGTTTATTTTTGCTTTTATTTCTCTTGCCTCAGGAGCCATTTAGAACAGTGTCAGAGAGATTACCGCCTGTGCTCTCTTTAAGGATTTTTATAGTTTCAGGCCTCACATTTAGGTCTTTAATCCATTTTGAGTTTATTTTTGTGTATGGTGAAATAAAGTGGTCTAGTTTCATTCTTTTGCATGTTGCTATGGTTTTCCCCAACACCATTCATTGAAGAGACTTTTTTCCATTGTATATTCATTCCTCCTCTCTTGAAGATTAATTGGCCATATAATTGTGGGTTTATTTCCAGGCTTTCTGTTCTGTTAATCTGTGTGTGTTTTTTTTTATGCCAGTACCATACTGTTTTAATCACTATCACTTTGTAATATAACTTGAAATCTGGAATTGTGATACCTCCACTTTTGTTTTTCTTTTTCAAGACTGCTTTGGCTATTTGAAGTCCTTTGTGATTCCATAAAAATTTTAGGATTATTTCTTCTAGTTCTGTGAAAAATGCTTTTGGTATTTAGTAGGGATTGCATTAAATCTGTAGATTGCCTTGGGTAGTATGGACATTTTAACATATTAGTTCTTCTGATCCGTGAACATGGAATGTCTTTTCATTTCTTTGCATTGTCTTAACTTTCTTTCATCAGTATTTTATAGTTTTCAGAATACAGGTCTTTCATCTCTTTGGTTAAATTTATTTTAGATGTTTAATGTATTTGGTACATTTGTAAGTAGGATTGTTTTTACTTTCAATTTCTGCTGCTTCATTATTTGTATAGGGAATGCAACAGAATTCTGTACATTGATTTTATATCCTGCAACTTTACTGAATTCATTTGTCAATTCTAGTAGTTTTTTGGTGGAGTCTTTAAGGTTTTCTATATATAGCATCATGTCATTTGCAATTAGTGAAGGTTTTACTCCCTACCAAATTAAATGCCTTTTATTTCATTATGTTGTCTTAATGCTGTGGCTAGGACTTACAGTACCATGTTGAATAAAAGTGATGAGAATGGATGTACTTGTCTTGTTCCTGATCTTAGGGGGAAAGCTCTCAGTTTTTCTCCATTAAGTATGATGTTTGCTGTGGGCTTTTCAAATAAGGCCTTTATTATGTTGACATATGTTCCCTCTAGACCTACTTTGCAGAGTTTTTCTTTATCATAAATGGATATTGTACTTTGTCAAATGCTTTTTCTGCATCTCTTGAAATCATCTGGTTTTTATCCTTTCTCTTATTGATGTGACATATCACAGTGATTGTTTTGTGAATATTGAACCACTCTTTCATCTGGGAATAAATTCCACTTGATTGTGTTGCATGATTTTTAAAATATATTATTGGATTTGGTTTTCTATTATTTTGTTTAGGATTTTTGCATCTAAAGTCATGATATTGGCCTATAGTTCTTTCTGTTTTTTTTTTTTTTTTAATTTTGTGGTGTCTTTATCTGGTTTTGGTGTCAGGGTGATACTGGCTTCATAAAAAGAATTTAGAAATTTTCCTTCCTCTTCTGTTTTTTGGAATTATTAACTCTTTCTTAAATGTTTGGTAGAATTTGCTTATGAAGCCGTCAGGTCCTGGACTTATGTTTTTTGGGAGTTTTTTGATTACTGGTTCAATATCATTGCTGGTAATTGGTGTGTTCAAATTTTCTATTTTTCCCTGACCTAGTTTTGGTAGGTTATATATTTCTAGGAATTTATCCATTTCTTCTAAGTTGCCCAATTTGTTGGCATATAAGTTTTCATAATATTGTTAGAATTGTTTGTATTTCTGTGGTGCTGGTTGTTATTTCTCCTCTTGCATTAGTAATTTTGTTTATTTTGTTCTCTCTTTTTTTTTATTATAAATTAATTTTTATTGGTGTTCAATTTACCAACATACAGAATAACACCCAGTGCTCATCCCGTCAAGTGTCCCCCTCCGTGCCCGTCACCCATTCACCCCCACCCCCTGCCCTCCTCCCCTTCCACCACCCCTAGTTCATTTCCCAGAGTTAGAAGTCTTTATGTTCTGTGTCCCTTTCTGATATCTCCCACACATTTCTTCTCCC